GCGGAGTTCAAGTCTGTTTTGGCCCGTTTTTGTTTTCCTTAGTGATGTAAAATACACAAATGCTGTATCTTTTGGTGTATTTGTTTATTTTGTTTGGAGCCATCCATGCTGGTATCTGAATACAGTAGGAAAACAGATGGCAAACTTTGAACTTCTGGACCAAATTTGTGTTTGCCTTTGTCTTCCTAACAGCCAAACTGTAAATTATGGAGTATAAATATTCAACAGAGGAGCTCTTTATGAAAATCACCACAACGAAATAGGCCCTTATTAACCAGATACGGGGCTGAAAAGTACTTGGGCCAGAATCTCCCCCTGCCCTGCCCTCCCCCGCCCCGCACCCCCGCCCCGCATCTATGCATCTATTCAAGTTGCGGTTGGTCGTCTGCCACCAGCCTTCATTTCCCAGCGGTTACACCTTTTCTCCCTTCTCTTACCCGCAGATGCCTCAAGTGGCCCTAAATGGTGACGGAGGGAGGTCTTTGTTTTCCAGGGCCGCTCCCTGCGCTCTCATCTGTAGTCCCAGGCCCCTGGCTGGGGAGGGGGCCGCAGGGCGGGCCATAGTAGGAGAGCTGGGCCTTAGGCGGCGGCCCGAGGCGGCTCCAGGCCCTCGCCCGTGTCCCTGGAGTTGGGCTGTGTGTGACACAAAGCACACGCAGAGGAGTGCGTGTAGAAGGCACGGCCTGGTTTGAACAGGAACAGCACACCGGTGCGGCCACCGCCCAGCTTCCCCGGTGCCCCGTCATGAATGAGTCCACGTCGGAAACAGGGCGCCTTTAGCCCCTTCGTTCCGCTACCTCCCCTCTTCCCCAGGTAACTGCCATCACCAGTTCAAGGGCGTCCTTGCAGAATCTTAGTTTTTCACCGCAGCAGGTAACCTGCGCCTTCGAAAGCACGACATAGCGGGAGAAGCCACGCTTCTGGGCCCCTCTCTTCCCGGGCAGCCCGGTCGTCCCCAGCCTGGGCTGCGTGTCAGTGTTCTCCAGGGGAGTCTTGTACGCACACGGCACAGGCACGGACATTCTTCACCCCCTGGGCCCGTGCTCCCCCTGCGTAGCTGGGGCTGGGGGACAGCGCCCTTCCTGCGGCAGAGATGGGCCGGGGTCGCTGTGGGGCCGTGCTGGCACTGCCGTCGCTGGCTGGGGCCGTCCCCGTCGGTGACACTCGTGCCCTTCGCGGCACCCCGTGGCTTCTGCCACGCTGGTTGCCGTTCGTACAGAGGTGATGCGTCTTCCCCTCAGGATGCATTTAAGGCCTTTGTCTCCTGCATTTTCCCACGTTAGTAAGATAGTCTTCGCTGTGTTGTTCTTACTCCGATGAGTGCTCACCGAGTGTGAGCAGCGGGCCTTCCATTAATGCTAGGAAAACGCCCGCCCCGTACTGCTTCAGTGTGGCCTGTTTGCAGCATTCTTTGTTTTCTCCGTCTGCAACTTCTTTTGGACACCAGCTGAACTGCTTCCTCGGTCACATTTTATATTTATGTGTGCGCCACTCTAGGTCATCTTTCCGATTTGTCTGAACTCTTGAACACGAACTCTTCCAGCCTATCTAATGAATTCAATTTCAGGGACTGTGTTTTCATTTACAGAAGTTTTTCTTTAAGTATGTTTTTTTAAGTTTATTTATTTTGAGGGGCACCTGGGTGGCTCTGTCAGTTAACCATCCGACTTCAGCTCAGGTCACGATCTCACAGTCTGTGAGTTGGAGCCCCATGTCAGGCTCTGTGCTGTCTGGAGACTGCCTCCAATTCTGTGTGTCTCTCTCTCTGTCCCTCCCCCACTCATGCTCTGTCTCTCTCAAAAATAAACATTAAAAAATTTTGAGAGACTGAGTGAAAATAGGGGGAGGGGCAGAGAGAGAGAAAGGGAGAGACAGAGTCCCAAGCTGTCCAGGCTGCCTCCCAGCATGGGCCATGGGGCAGTCGCTTGCTTTGAGAACTGAGCAGTGCATTTTCAAGGGTGTGATTTATCCAGCAGTATTCAGTGGTTTTTAGCAGGAAGGTTCTAGAAGTTGTCTGAAACAGAAACCCCATCTTCTGCTACTAAAAACCGTGCCACTGGCCTTATATGTCCATGTGTATTTGTATCCATATGTTAGGTATAGCCTAGATACATTCCTAGCAGTGAAACTGCTGGGTCAGAAGGAAGTATATTGTCTGCTGGATATTGCCAGATCATTCCCTGAAGAGGGTCTGTGCTCACATCAGGCGTGTGTAAGTGCCCATCGACCCAGGTCCCTCTGGTGTGGAGGGTATCAGGTGGTATCAAAGTGTAGTTTTAGGTCTTTGTTTCTCTCCTTACCAGTCAACACACCTCACATGTGTTTAAAAGCCATTAGTAATTTCCTATTAACTATTTTTTATTAGCTTTTATTTTAATTTTGGGTTGTCCATCTTTACTTTCAATTTGAAGGGATTTTTTTTAACAAGAAATTAGCCAGTCCTCTCTGTTGCATACATTTCCCCCAGTTTACCATTTGCCTGGACTTTGACTTCTTTTTCCCATATGGGAAAAATTTCCACACTTTTATATGTAATCATCAATATTTTCCTTTTTGACTTACGGGTTTGTTTAGAAGGGCCTTGCCGATTCTGAATATTCTCGTAGTTAATTATGTTGAACTCTGAGTCACCTATAATTTATTCTGATGCGATGTCTATATGGCAGAGCTCCACGTTGAGAAAGTTATTAGAGGGTATTTTGTCTTTAATCGCTATTCTGAGTGGGATCTTTTCTTTGATTACATTTTTCAAACTAGGGGTTGTTTGTACCTAAGACAGCTATTGATTCTGACATATTAATTTCATTTGATTGAGTTATTACTGAATTATCTTCTGCTGTCATCTCTAATTTGTCTCCTCCTCATTTTTTCTTTTATCTAATTGTGTCTTTTTTTTTTTTTAATCTTTGTTTTTGAGAGAGTGCAAGCAGGGGAGGGGCAGAGAGAGGGTCCCAAGCAGGCTCTGCGCTGACATCAGACAGAGAGCCTGGTGTGGAGTTCTAACTCGCGAACCTCAAGATCACGACCTGAGCCAATGTCTGATGCTCACCCAGCTGAGCCACCCAGGTGCCCCAAACCATATCTGTTTTTTTAAACAAGGCACAGTATTAGAAAAAATGAACCATCCTTTTTTAAAGCCTTCACTAGAAGTAAGTGTTCTAGCACATCATGGCTTTCCTCACTTCTCCTAGTAACTTGGTGAACTCTATCAACGGACACCGCCATGGGTTGTGCTCGTTAGGAGCATGTGGCTCTGGACCCTGCTGTATTTTCTTCGGGTCTGAGCACTGACACCGACCTGGTGCTGATGGTCAGGCTCTGGGTGGTGACAGGACCCCAGCTTCACCTCAAGATCAGGGAAGCTGTTCTCCTTCCTGTGCCCTGAAGCCCGTGTGCAGCCGTTGCTGGCTTGTTCCAGGGACCCGTGCTTCCTTTCCCGGTCCACTCACTGCTACTTTTTCTATCCTTGGGGGTCCGGTTGGGTAATTCTCAGGAGATTTAACAAAATCAGCTCAAACCCAAAGTACACAGTGACTAAAGAAACTGAATTACTTAAAAAAAAAAAAAATCTCCAAAAAAAAAAATAGGTCCGTGTAGGTTTTTCCTGTCCAGGCAAGTTTCACCAGACGCTTACGAAACTGTCCCCTTCGTCCTTACAAAGCTTTTCGTGCTGAAGTCCACGTTGCATTTGTTATACCGGGTGATCCATTTGAGGCCCTTCCTGCTCATGGGTGGGTTCGGCCTGCGTGCAGGCTGACTCCGCAAAGCCAGCTTTTCGCGCTGCGCTGGAGAGTTCTGTACATCCCTCAGGGCCTGTGCACTCCCCTCACTGTCCGCCCAGTATTTTGCCGCACCCACAGGTGGCAGATTTGGGGTCCTTTTCTGATAAAAATCTTAGTTATGCCTTCAAACTTCAGTAGGTCCACGAGGTATAGAATTTTTGGGTCAAGCGAATGTTCCTCGGAACTCTACAAACCATCGATCTGTGTGTGCGCCCTTGTAACTGGGAGTGGAGGATGCAGCGAGCTTCACACCCTCTCTCCGTACCACTGTCTAGACCACATTTACCATGTTAGCATTAGCTGGGCCTGGCCTCCGGCTAGGCGGTGGGTGGGTCTTTTCCTTTTTGACTTGCAGCAGGGAGGCTGTTAAATTCACCTGTACTGAAGTTTTGCCCCATTTAATTTTTGCTTTGTGGCTTATTTCAGGAACTGTGTTGGTGCTCTGCTAGATAAGAGCTGCTAGATAGATCTGTCTCATTGTCTAGATGTGGAAAAGCAGCATATACTGAAGTCATTTTTAAAGAGGTTCTTAAATTCACGTTATTACAAGTCAAGTAATTATTTTGGGACTTGAGATAAGTGACAGCCAAGTGTCCACGTACTCTCATCATGATTTTTTTATGTTTAGTCAACTACACATTGCCTTCCAAATTTCAACAAGAGGATGATGAAATTCCAAAGTCAAGTTAAATTCAGTCCTAGAAAAGAGTTATTTTCTCAGCTGGGTCAAGGTTTGGGGTGCACACAAGCGTGGCTGGCTTACCTCCTGCCCTTAACAGCAAAGCTGCTGTGCCAGGCAGTGCACTTACCACCGGGTCAGCCTTCACAGTCTGGTGTCAGTACTCAGCTTCCCTGGGCGTGGACTCGTGCTCAGGGCTGGCGTCTTCCCTGTTGAGCAGAGGAAGCATGCGTGACAGGTCAGCTCATATATTTGTCTTGAGTCTATCCTGTTCCAGGGGCTTTATAATCATTCTGATTAGACAGCTGTTGGTACTGTAAATTCATCCATCTCTATTGCATCTTAGTCTCCTCTGGCTGAGTACTAATAAGGTGGTAAATTCTATATTAATATTAGGATGTTGGCACCCAAGGTTGTTTTTGTTTTGTTTTGACTGTTCTGCTTTTGCCAGATTGTTGGGCATCGACCAGCACAACCAAGGATGAATGTGTCATTTCGGGCCTTAACACGAATCCCCGTTCTCTTCTCGGGCCTCCCAGGGTGAGGATCCACGACCTCCGCACTGACAAAATCGCCCTTTCGCTCTCTGCCCACCAACTGGGAGTTTCCGCAGTACAGATGGATGACTGGAAAATCGTCAGCGGAGGCGAGGAGGGCCTGGTCTCGGTGTGGGATTATCGGACGAACCAGAAGCTGTGGGAAGTGCACTCCAGGTAACGCAGTGGAGCGGGAGCGGTTCCTTGTGCTAAATGCGTGTTCGACGCCGTGCTGGGCGTGAGCAGTGGGGGGGCTGCTGTGGGTCCCTCTGTCCACGTCTCAGGCCAGGAACCCAAGACCCAGAGACGGAGCTGTTCTCACACTGTGAAAGCTGCTGTGCCGCCTGCCCAGCCGGGGTAGGCAAGCCCTGCTGGGGGTACCCAACTGCGTCCTCGGGTCCTGACAAACGTGACCTTGATCGTCTGCCCATTTCTCAGGGCGCTTGACTAAGGAGGGAGGAATCTGTCATTTCATTATCCCAAGTGTAGGTTGGGGGCTCACAAATGTAGGCATATAACGTCAAGGAGGCCTAACTGGCTGACTTGAGGCCACCTCCATCTTGCACGGGGAAGGGGCTCTCCCTCCCCCTTACCCTACATGCCTCCAGTGGGGGGTGGAGGAGGAGGAGAGCTTTCTTTACAGCTGGCCCTCACCACCACTGTGAAGACAGGTTCCGCAGAGCAGAGCATGAGCTTAACAAAAAACATACAGATGCTGAGGCCCCCAAGTACACACTTCAAGTCCTAGTAAGAAAAGGCAGTGCAGTCAAGGTTCAAACAGGAAGTGGCTAGCGCTCGCTCCCTCCAGCAGCCTCCCTCAGACTACATCGCCTGGCTGGGTCCAGCCCTGCCTTACCCCGCAAACAGGTGTAAACCCCTTTTCCCACTTTCTGTGGTGATGCAGGGAGTTGCCACCAGGTGGTGCCAGAAGGCAACTAAAAGTCCTCCGTGGCGGCATCCCAGCACCTTCTGCCCGAGAGGGTGACTGCTCACTGCAGCTCTGGCCCTGGGGGACTGGCACCATCCCGTCCCGCTTTTCAGCAGCAGCTCCTCCTCGTTCTCTAGGACTGGGCTCCAGCAAGATCTCATTTTCTCTCCCTGAACAGCTGTTCTGCTGCCAGCTCATTCAAGTGAAGCCACAGTCAGGGAGGTCTTCCCAGCACTTGCCTTCCTCGCTCCTTTGTAAACGTACCACCAGTTCTCCCCCTGGATAGTGGCTTGTCCCGGGCAAGGCCCCTGTGGCCACCAGCAAAGGGCTGGGCCGTGCTCACCAGGTCCTGCCTGCCTGTGCGGCAGCCGGTCTGGGTTCTCTCGAGCCTCCGGTCCAGCCCCGCGGGACATCGGGGCCTCTTCCGCCAAAGTCAGCTGTTCTCGCCTGTCCCCGAGTGAAGTCTTCCAGACACACTTCCTTCTGGTTGGTGTCCTAAAGCCTGGAGTGGCAGGGCCGGGTCCCCTGCTCTGCGCACAGATGCGCCCTCCTCTCCGCCCTCCTGCAAGGCCTGGCTGCTGGGCCCGTGCTGAAGCCTGTGTTCCAGCCCTGGGGCTTGTGACACCTCTCATGCTTTAGAAACACTGGCTTCGTTTTGGGGGAATGCACTCTTACATCCTTACCGAGGAAGCATCTGATAGCAGGCTCCTGCTGGCATGAGACACCTTTTACATCCTGCGGTCCCTGGCTTGGTGCTGGGACCATAGGAGGCAGGCCCTGGATGAAGAAAGTTTTTAGAACAAAAACTTTACTCCATCAATTGATTTCAAGCGATTGTTGCAAAATTTTGCAGCACAAAAGCACGTTCAGAGACTCCCAACAGCAGGTGTAGCCCTTTCAAACTTGGGAGGGGGCCTCTGACGGATCAGCCCCATGCCCTGCAGAGGGGCCGCTCAGTGAACCTATCCAGGGCCAGCCGGCCAGGGGGCCGTCCTCTCCACACGCTGCTAAAATCCTTTATGTCAAAACACACCAAGTTGGGTGGTCGGCCAGGAAACGGGGCACCCGGACTTGTCGACAGTGGTACCGGGGCGAGTCTCTGCCCGCCCGCCCCAGGGGCCCCAGGTTCCTCCTCTGTTCGTGAGAAGCTTGGCAGAGGGTTCTAGAGCCCCTGGACTCTCAACTTCCAGTTTAGGGGGACTTCCCTTTACCAGGCACTCTCCTGTTCTGTTCCAGACACCCCGTTCGACACCTGTCCTTCAACAGCCACAGCCTCATCACGGCCAACGTGCCCTACGAGAGGGTGGTGCGGAACACCGACCTGGACTTCACGGCCCACAGGAGGTCAGCGTGCAGGGCTGGGCTTGCGGGTGTTCAGGACAGACCATCTTAGTTTGATTCTATTACCGGAACCCCCATGCCACCTCGTCCCCCACACGTCTTCCCTCAGCCGTGACCTTCATAGAAACTGTGAACTCCCGTGGCCACGTGGGCTCCCCACACCAGGGCTATGTTCCCGCTGTGGTCACACTCCCGGTGACGGGGGCAGAGCCCCCTCCTCCTGCCCCATCGGCGGGGGAACTCCATTCCCAGCGAGGGAGAGACCCCCGTGCAGGGGCTCAGGTGACTGCAGGTGGCCCGGCCTCCAGTCCCGGGACTGAGTGGCCGTGAGCGTTCGGGGCCGGGCTGTCCAGGGTGGGCACCATCCCGATGCGCTGCTGTCTGTGCTTCCTCTAGACACCGCGGGCTGGTCCACGCCTACGAGTTTGCGGTGGAGCGGCTGGCCCTGCAGAGCACGCTGCCCGTGTGCCGGGCGCCCGAGGACACCGCGGCCGGCTATGCCCTGGCGCTCGCCTTCCCCTAGGACCACGCAGCAGAGGGGGAAGAACCAGCCTGATGCATTTGAAAACTCCCCAGAGCTCTGTGCTGGGCTGTAAGCATCCGGGGGAAGAGCACAGCCCCGGCTGCACCGGTCTGGCCCCACATACTCCTCGGCTGCCGGTACGTTTTTCTGTAGCTGCCTGTGCAAAGTGGCTAGCTCCGTCTCGGTTTTCTGGGTGCTCGGGTCCTCCTCTGTGGCTTTCAGGGCCTCCCTCTCACGACTCATACTACACCTCCTCCCTCCCCCTGCATCTGCTCCCCGCCCAGCTATCCTGGTCACCCGGGCCCTAGCCGGGGCCCCTCTCCCCTGGAGCCCGTGTGCATCTCCCCCTGCATCTGTACGCACGGTGCAGGGCCCCTTGCCCCCCCTGCCTGCAGGATGCCCCTGTTCCAGGCAGCCAGCATCGTTCAGGTCTTCAAGCCCTTTCTTCCAGGGCAGGGGAGGGAGCTGAGGTCACGTATTCCCTCGGGGTGGTCTGTGCTACCCTTACCCGGTACCAACCTGGGGTCACAGTACTGCTTCCTCATCGTTCTTACCATGATTCATAATTATATGTTTATACAGTCACATTGAGGACTATCTGGTCTCCTGTTTTGTCCACGACCCGTGATACAAAGTAGATTATTTTCTACATGTGTTGCGTAAACAGCCGTCCCGTCTTCCACGTAGGATGGAAGAGCTGGCGGAGAAACCACTCCCCTAAACCGCTGCGCCAGAGCAGGGCAGCACCAGGGGCCTCTGCAGTACCGTAAACGGCTTCCATTTCCAAAGGATGAAGGGGGCAAACCCTCACATTACTCTTGATGTAACCCGTTCGGAGCGGCAGTCACCTAATATCCCTTTCAAAATAGCAAAGCAAAAACTGACAGAACTACAGAGAAAGCCCTGCCTCATAGTGAGGGATCAATAAAGACTCCAAGGATTGACCTAATAGAGTTCACAAGCGTGATCCAATATGCATCTACAGAGTGTTGGGCCTTTTTAAATCTCCACAGACCATACACGGAAAAGGACTCTGTATGAAGCCCACAAAGGATGATACCATTCAGGTCAAATTCAGTGACCCCCTCATGCACTAAAATGAGGTAAAGTGAAAAACACCCACCTGGGTGTTCCTGGGAATTCCAAATACTCCAGAACTGGTTTAAAGAAAGAAAAATGGAAAATATAAACTCCCTAGACCAGGGTGACTGTGACCGCACTGGATATCAAACCCCCAGGACTAGAGAGGCCAGAAGTTCTGGCTTAAATGGAAAACAGGCCAAAGATACACGGAAGCTGTCATCTCAGATAGTGACCCCAGAGGAGGGTGGAAGCAAAGGTTAAGTCATAAACACACACTGATGGGATAGAAAGCCAGTAAGCAGTACAGCTCATCCCCACACCACCCCCGCCTGTACCATTTTACACTGGACCGGCTTTTCTGAAAAGCCAAAATATACAAGTCTTGATTTGGGGGGAAAAAAAAAAAGGCACAGGGGCTTGTCAGGGCGACAGCCTGCCCCCACTAACCCAAGAGAAAAGGGACGCTTTCCTCCTGTACGTGAGAGCGGAAAAGGGGGTGCTGCGTGCCATGCCTGAGTCCCGGCACTTCTGAGTTGTGAAGCCTTTGAGGCGTTTTTCAGGGGAAGACGGTCCATGTTAAAAACCGACACGCAGCTCATTGGGGCCTGGGACTCCCCACTTAACCCCCGCGCGACGCTGGCTTCCAGACCGCCTTCCAGGGCTGGCGGCTTGGTCAGGACGGCCTTCTGCTTCCTTTCAGCCAAATTACTTCGTACATGAAGCCGGTCTGCGGGGAGCAGATAAAGTATTTTATTTACTCCTGGTGTCATGTGGCGCTCTGACCCCCTGGCGACCTCGCTTTATAAGGTTTTCATCGCTCATGGCCTTACCGCAACCGGACGACTGGGTTAAAGACTTTTTCCTCCTGAGAAGCAGGCCCTTCCAGCCCGATTTTACCCCTCACTTTGCAGACACGCTCGCCCTTCCTAGCTTTGCAGCCAGGACGGGTACTTCAAGACTCGAAAAGAAATTAGACCCAGAAAAATTTCCCAAAACAAAAAATAGTTCTAAACTCTTGTCATTCGCTGCCAACAGCTGGTCCCGCGTAAAATGGCTCGGCCGCAGGGCTCTCTTACCTCCCCGGCCTGCTCCTGTGCCGGTTGGGGGGGGGGGGGGGCAGGTGTCAGATCCAGACCTGACCCCAGGCACCACCCGCAGTGTTTGCTGCTGCAAACCTTACATCCTGGAACGTGGGGAGGGGACCAAATGCCTCTATAAATTCACATCTACCCAGTGACTTACGTCCCCCCCCCGCCCCCCCCCCGGGTCCCTGTTGGCTATTTTGATGAAGCTCCTTTGCAAGGAGATGGTCCTCTCCTTTCCTTCCTGAGCTCTTCTCCCTGCGGCTCCCCCAAAGACAGAAGCATCTTTTGCACCCCCCGGGGAGCCAGAGCGCCCCACAGCAGAGCTCTTGTGTCCTACAACTTCGCCTACCTTTTGCTTTCCACTTTTATCAACTGTCTGAATACTAAATTTTCGAAATGTGTTTCTTGCTCGAATGCCGGCTTGCCCTGGCCGGGCCCCCGGCTTACCGTGTATGTGCTCCCCGCTGGCCGGGCAGCCTGGGGTCGCAGGCCACCGGTGAGCACGACCCCCACCCGCAGGGGCTCCTAGCCTGGGAGCCAAGGAACCCACAAAATCAGGCGTAAAATTGGACACAAGCATTAGGCGGGTTGGCTTTCCTCAGATTCTGTACGGGGACTGCCGAGAATTTCAGCTCGGCCATGACACTGGGCCTTCTGAGCCGGGCCACCAGACATGCTGCTGCCATTACACAGCCAGTAATTTAACAGCTGGCCCGGGGTGGCATCAGCGTCTGCAAGAGGCACAACTTGTGCCCTGGCTGATTTCCTTTCTGTTGGGAAAGGAACGCTTGATAGCCCCCAAGATGAAGCCCTCTATCCCCATACCCCACTTCAGAAAGAGGCCCCAAAGGGGCGCCTGGGTAGCTCGGTCAGGTATCTGACTTCGGCTCAGGTCATGATCTCAAGGTTCGTGAGATCAAACCCCGCATCGGGCTCTGTGCTGACAGCTCACAGCCTGGAGCCTGCTTCGGATTCTGTGTCTCCCTCTTTCTCTCCGCCCCTCCCCACTCGAGCTCAGTCTCCCTCTCAAAAATGTTTTTTAACGAGAGGCCCCACATTTAGGGATGGCATCCCCTGCGCACTTGAACGACAAATGCCAGCTACTGCAGATGACTCTGCTCACTGAGGAGAAACGGCGTCCCCCCCCCGAGGGCACAGCCTTCTCATTAAAGCCGCTGGTGGCCTGTCATTGCAGGCAGGTGCGGCCTCGCCTCCCAGCTGGGGGCCTCTGCTTCAGGCAGCAGCCGCAGCCACCAGGAGCTTGGGTCGCGGGCTGGGCCGCGGCACCATGAGCAGACCTGCCCGCCCCGCCCTGGCGGCCAGGCCCGATGGGCACCTGGCTGCAGTGGCTGCCTCTGCCTGTGGCCGTGTGCACGGGCTGCCCCCTACGTGCGGCGGCAGGGTCCTTCGGCGCTGGGCTCCAGTGGCCGCCAGGCAGGGCAGGCCTTCACCTCCGCTGTGCGTCCTGCGGCAGGCTTTCCACTCCGGCTCCGCACCAGGGGCCACTGCTTCCCTAGGGAGGGAGGGAACACTCCCGGCTCCTACAGCCCCAAGAGCGGAGCCTGTCACGTCGTTTCTTCCCATGCCCACTGCCAGGACAGCCCCTGTCCCTCCTGTAAGACCGAGGGGGCTGCAGCTGCTGCTCTGGGCGCTGGGGCGGAAGATGGAGCCCAGTCTCTTGCTGACTTGTTTGGATTAGAAGGCTCACCGGCCACCACGGGCCCAGTTCGTCCAGCACCGACAACCCCACTGGTGCTTGCCTCCTGGTTCCGGAAAGGCCTAGAGACAAAGGCAGAGCTGAGAGAAAACCTGCCTCCTCGGCGCCCGCCTCCCCCCCGCCCCCCCCAAGGCCTTCCCAAGGTCACCGTGTGGGAGGACAGCTTGCAAAGCAGGTGTTTGCAAAAACCCTCGCCAAGGCAACTTGTATTTTTAACTCCGTCAGCCCACGGAAGTCACTGCCGTTCCTGGCGCTGCGGTTCGGCCCCAGCGGGCAGGTGGGGGCAGGCTCAGGTGCACGTGGGAGCTGCCTCCCCTGAGCAGAGCACAAACAGAACTTACCAGTCCCTGGGACGAGAAAGTAACGGAGTTGTTTCGTTCAAGGCCAGCAAGACTTTTTGCTTGGCCGAAAGTGGAAGCGGCTGTAATCTTACGCTACCCCTGATGCATGATGCGTGGCCCCGGGGCTGCGGGACGTTCCCGGGCTGCTCCTGTCAGATTTCCAACGCACCGCCTTTTGTGAAGCTACTAGACTCATGCATTTGTGCCAAACTCCCGGATTCTCGTAGCCTCCAAAAGCTGAGTTCTGGTAGCTTGTCCCTTTGGGGACACGATAGCATGAAACTAGACCCGGCTTTCAGCCTGGCTGCTGGCAAATGGGTGAAGAACGGAGAGAGGGGAGCCCGCACCGTGCTGGGTCTCCACCCACAGCCTGAGGCCTTCAAAGCACGACTGTACTGCCTTCAAATATTTGCCTTAGCACTGATTTCTGCCTGTTTCCTTTTAGTCACTGGTGTGATTCTTGATAGAGGGCAGGCTGTTAAACAAGTACATCTGTCGATTCATCAACTTACCTCTTTTAGAACAAATTTCAAAACAAACACCTCGCTTGCTTCTGATGAGGCGCCCCATCCGGGGACCCGGGGGGTTGCTGTCCTTGCCCAGGGCCATGGGGCTATGAAGCCCCTCCCGGGCACCCTCACTGGTAACAGGAGGGGTTTCTGAGCCCCCGCCCCCGTCTTCTGCTGGACCCATGGGGACTCAACCTGATCACTCCTCGAATGACCGAGCGGGCGCCCCGGGAGCCGGTGGAGCTCCAGGGGACCTTGGCAGGCCGCGCTCCGGGGGGGATAAGCCTTAACCCTGCCAATGAGACGACACCCGCAGTGACTGGAACAAATCAGCTTTCCTTTGAGCAGCATGGCCTGGGCTCATAGTGAATAAATCTCATTTTAATTAGCTGTTTAGGTAAGCTGTGGCCCAAAGCTTCACAGACGTTAGGCCGGCCCTCCGTGGTCTGAACAAATGGAAAACGACTGATGCACGCCAACAGAGGCCACACCTCCCAAACTCAACTCGGTGCACGGGGGCTGATGGAAAATGGTTTCTGAAAACACTTTACGCTAATGACCTGCCTTCGTTGAGAAGCACAAAATCGAAGCAAATTGGGAGAGTCCCAGAAAATGCAGGCCATGGTGGCCACGCCAGCCATCCCGCTGCTCACCGTGGGGTCCGCCACACCCTCCAGAGGTGGGGGAGGGGAGGATGCGCGCCTCTGCGAGGCTGCAGGGGCGTCACCGGGCAGAGGCACTTGGGGAGAGGGCCAGGTTCCACACACCAGGCCATCCCAGGGACTGGAGACTCTTTTCCCTGCGGCCAGGAGAGCCCAGCGCATGAGCAAGGCAGTCCCTAGGGGCAGCAGGGCGGCAGCTCCCAGCCCCCACCTGCCCCAGGAAACCGCTGCAGTTCAGGGTCCCACCAGGTGGCTGGTACCCTGAGGGCGGGAAGCCGAGGCCTCTGCCTTCCCCGACCTAGACCTACCGCTTAGGAAATGTCAAAACACTTGTTGCGGAAGTGCCAGTGTGAACAGCAGAGCTCTGGAAGTGACTTCAGACAGCCCGCTGCTTCCTCACGCGGGCTCTCAGCCGTCCCCCGGGGGAGCGGAGGCCACGGCCTTCACCGCAGGCCAGCTGCCCTCAGGCCGTGCGCCCAGGGGCCCAGGCGGTCCAGCTACGCGCTCACTGCCGACAGGACACCGGCAGGCGTCTGCTCTCACCTCCCAGGTCCTCAACGTTACCGGAACGATGCACGCGGTTCCCAAACCGCCACAGTGTGCCAGCCTCGGGGCTTGTGCTGCCACACAGTGCTCGGTCCACACGGTCACCCTGCCCTCCCACCTGCCTCACTGCTGCGTTTCAATTCACTTCAGTACCAACGTTTGGCTCATGCTTGGCAACATACCTGCTTGCGTCTGCATGAACAGCGCTGGGAAGACGTCAAAGAAACAGGCTGGCCCGACGGCCTCGGGGAAGGGCAAGCCGGGGCCTGCCGGCGCGGGGTCAGGGCTGTGCGGTGTGCCTTCCCGCGCCTTTTAAATTCTGAACCCCAAAGCACAGGTGGGAGCAAAAACACCCTTAACAACGAAGCTGTGGAAGTGCAAGAATGCCGGTAATGGCAGTTCTCAGTTACCAGAACTTTCTGGGAAGGCTGGAAAGGAACCTCCCAGTGAGTGTGGACGGCAGGAACCAAGCAAGGAGGCCTGGAGTGCCACCAGCGATGAGCGACCGCAGCGACGGCCCTGCTGGGCCTGAGCACCAACCAGCTGGACAACCGTCATTTCCCTGCCCCCAGCACAGCCCACCCCTGAATCAGAGGTGACCCTGGAGCTCTGGGAGCTACTCACAGGGACAGTCCCCTCCCCGGCTGCCACCACCACTGGGGGCTGCCATGTGCCAGCCCGGGAGGGCATGGAGACACCCAGCCCGACCTCCCGCAGTCGGCAGCCAGGCTCCGAGTCTGGCGCCCCGGGTACCATCGACAAGCTTGGGGGCATCACTGTGGGGCCCCCCATCTTCTGCGGCCTAAATGCTCCGTCACGACAGCGAGGAAACCCCACATCTGAGTCCCGGGCACCACGGTGCCAGGAGCTGCCTCACCTTACTGATTACCACCCAGCCCCCACACAGGCAAGAGAGCAAACCCTTCACCCAAAATAAACCAGAAAAGGTACAGGGGAAAAAACTCCCCTCTTCCAAGCCAGCCTTTGAAAATTAGCTGCCGTCTGCTCGTGTTCAGCCTCATGCCACCAGGCGGCCAGGCCACAGAGGGGACATGGGGGACAGGAGCCACGTTCGTTTACAAACCAATAGTTTTCTTTTTTTATTAGAGATAAAAACAGCGAGGTCCCGCTGTACCCCGGGGAAAACAAGGCTGCAGAGGAGGGGGACTATTTACATGAGCTGCAGCAGGACACCAGTGGCCTCGGGCCCCGCAGGCGGCTCTAAACCACAGTGCGGCTTCGGGGGGCGGGGCACCCGCGGGTCAGTGGCAAAGGGCGATGGTCTCCATGTTCAGGAAGCGGACATGCATCTTGGTCTCGATATCTATCCCCTGCCAGATCTGGAAGGGACAGAGCGGCAGCAGTGAGTGTGCGTCCCCACCGCCCCAGGCCCACGTCCCCGCCCCCAGGACAGGTGAAAGCCAGGGGGCTGGTTTCAGGGCTGGGAGCCAAGAGTGGAAGAGAAACTTCCATCTGCCTTTCTGTGGGTTAATTTGGCTCTGACATTTGGAGCCTCTCCGATACTGTCACAGCAGCTTGTTATTAAGTGCGGAATCCAAGCTCTCAGCTCCGTCATTTCAATCGCACCCACCACCCTTCGGGCTCTGTGATTTTCATGCAAATTCCTTAACCCCAGCAAGCCTCCTCTTCCTTGGCACCACCCACACTGCCCACATCAGGTCACACGGTGCTGGCGGCTCAGATGGGATCGTGCACGGAACCTTTTGTAAACCGTTAAGCACTGAGCATTTGTGCTGTTTCAGTGACCCATCCCCCCCCCTCATGAAAACCTCCTAGGGACAGGCCACCCCGTTCGACGTAGACAAGCTCGTGCCGGGAAGGGTATTTTCTGCCCAAAGTTGACCACGGGCACATACCTGGCGCTGGGTCTGCCAGGACAGTCCGGCCAGGGCCCCGGGGGACAGCTGGGCTGCCCTGACACAAACTGCCACACTGCAGGCCCCCCCTACTCCCAGACCGCACTTGCCAGCCCCTCGGGGGACCCAAGAGGGCTGCAGATAAACAGCTGGAGGTGGCTCAGCCCCCCTGCTTGTGAGAACTTCAGACACTCAAGCTGTCGCCTGCGGCATCTCTGGGGACGGCCACCAGGCCGTAATCGGGCTGCGGTTGGAGCCCCGCGGGCAGCCGAGCTGCTTTCTGGGCTCCTCCACCTGTTCTAGGTGTGGTGCCAGGAGGGTGCAGAGAAAACAGACCTGGCTCCTGGGGAAGTGACCGGGGCACCCACAGTGCTTTCTGCTAAATGCCAGGTGGCGACAGGGTCACCGGTGAGGCCCGAGGGAGGAGAGGGGCCAGCCGGTCAGGAAAGGCCCCCGTGGAGTGGGGACAGGCTTAGGGGGCAGAGGAGCCTGTCAGGGAAGAAGCTGGGTGTCGCAGGATTCTCTGCCCGGCCCCGCGGGTGCACAGCAGGGGAGCCTGCCCCCCCTCCCCCTTTGCAGAGCTGGCTGCTGACTGGCCAAGAAGCAGCGCCACCTGGGGGGAGGGCCCATCCGAGCTGCCCCTGGGTTCCCTGGAGCCATGACCGCCCAAGTCCTGACCCGGCTCCGGGGCCGGGCCCGTCCGCTCCCTCCTGCGGGTCAGAGGCCACTGCGGTGGGCTGGACTGACACCTCTGGGTCGTGCTCCCCTGACTTCCTGCCCTCTGATCCCAGAATGAGCCTGGTGACCCGCTGTTGGGGTCCTTGGCGCCAGGCACGGGGCAGAGGGTCCCTCCACCGGGTACCTGCAATCAGAGCAGTGCGGGGCTCCCAGTTCCCAACCTCGGAGCACATCTGTGACAGCGGATACCTGGTGTCCACCCGCGGGGGCTGGGGGAGCAGCAGCTGTGTGCAAGGCACAGGGAAAGGGGCAGAACCCCACACAGTGGACTCCAGTGTGTGCCTCATAGGCATAGAACATTCCAGAACCCAGTTCCGACTGTTAACAGTGACGCTTCTGATGGGGGGACCGGGGACCTGGGGGGGGATCGTTTTTGTTGCGGCTTATACTGTTCCAGTTGCTCCAGCCACACGTGAATATTACTCGTCCGATAAAAATAAGTACAGCCGGTGTTTAAAAGGCCACGCGTGACCCCCCCCTCCACAGAGATGCCAGTCTCCTCCTGACCAGCGGGCGGGACACCCCCCCTCAACCCCCACCTCTGCTCCTAGACACCCACCTTCAGGAAGTCATCGAAGGTGATCCCCTCGTAGACCTGATCAGGCTCCTGGGGACAGAGCACACGCAGGGTGAGCGGCCTCCCCCGGGAGACCCCCCTCCCTCCCCGGGACGCAGAGGGTTGGGCCCCTTCGGTCATGAGAAGCAGGGGTCCCCCCGGACCTGCTGCCTCCAGCCGGAGGCCACTCTGAATTCCAACTCGGGGCTGGAAGGCAGGGTGCGAGCCGACCAGGGCCCCACCTGAGCCCCTGAGGGAGAACCTAGTGGATGAGGGTGGAAAGGAAGGGGGAGGGCTCAGAGGCACAGGCTCCCTTTCCCCTCATCTACCCACCGACTCCTGCCATTTCCCGGCCCTGCCTCACCCTGCCCGCCCTGACCCTCTGGGCTCACAGACCACTGGGGCAGGAGGGTAAAGGGCTGGCCTGTGCGGCCCACCCCTCTGGGCCAGTGAGTCACCGCGATAACGTCTGCCCGTGGGGCCTCTCACCCACCCAGTTGTGGGCAGTGCCAGGCTCCATCTGTGTCCTTCCTGCTCTGGGCACACATGACCTCATGAGACCAGAGGTGGGGCTCCTGCCCCTCTTACTGCTATCTCAGGCTCTGGCACAACCCAGCCTCCCCAAACCTCACCCCTGCCCGCAGCACTCTCTGTGACCAAAAGCCTGCTGCCATCCCCTGTCCATCAACAGAAGACTAGCTAAGTAAACCGCGGTCCTCCGTGCTAGTGGTCACCAGGCATCCGTGAAGAAGGGGTCGCCCTCTACATGCAGATGCGGAGAAGGCTCCAAGATACATAGCGGAAAAAACAAGCAGAGATGTCTGCAGATGCCCGCGTGCATGCCAAGTTCTTCCCGTGCCGCTGACCACACTGCCGCCATCTGCCCCGGGGGCGTGTGGGGTCAGCACAGAGAAGCGGCAGGAATTGTCAGTTCCACTGCGCGTACATCAAAAATAAAGCATATGTATACGTTGGTGTGTGTTGGAGAATAAACTCCAGCAAGGGCGTTTCCTTTTGGGGGGAGTGGGTGAGGGAGAGAAGGGCACAGAGATTCACCTCTCTTCCTATACCTCCCTGGGTTTGTTTCACTTTTTTAAATATTTTTGAGAGGGAGAGAAAGCGAGAGTGGCAGTGGGGGGTGGGGTGGGAGAAGGGGGGCAGAGAGAGGGAGACACAGAATCGGAAGCAGGCTCCAGGCTCTGAGCTGTCAGCACAGGGCCCGACGTGGGGCTCGAACCCACGAGCTGTGAGATCATGACCTGAGCCGAAGTCGGACACTCAACTGACTGAGCCCCCAGGCGCCCCTGGAGTTGTTCTGATGTGTACTGAATAGCAGGTACTCTGTGTCTGCTGTTCAGGTTCTGTTCTTACTCCCATTTCAGATAAGGCCACTGAGGCGCAGAGGCAGGGCCGCCTGCCTGTCCAGCGGGAGCAGCATGGCTGACTCCAAGTGTCTAACAGGATTCCTCACCCTCTGGGGTCTCTTGACACTTGTTTCTAATACAGAAAACGAATCTCTATATATGTCTTAATTTTCTAAACGTGACCGTTCTCAAATGCCCGGGCAGGTCCCTAGGGCTCCCTGCTCTCCCCGGGTCCCCTGGGGCAGCCAAGGAGAGCTAATTATAGACCAGGCTCCCTATCCTGAGAGCTGGGGTGGGGGGAGGGGGGATACCCAGGCTGAGACCCCAGCCAAGCAGCCCCACCCCCCAGGCCACAAGACTTTCCCGAAGCAGCACTCTGGGAAGAAAGCATTGCTCCGTCAATAACTGGCTCCGCAGTTATTAAAGCAAGTGAGGGACCGTCTGTCTGGTGGGCAGCGCAGGTTGGAATGTTCCGCGCCCTCAGAGGCCGGATGGTATGGAACTGTGCGGCCGGCCCTCACCCTGTGCACGCATGCCTGTGTGCACAGCCCATCTATCTGGCCGGCGTTTACATGAGAAAATACTTTCAGAGCACACAGAGGACCCACAAGTAAAGAAAGACGCTTGGGACGCACAGCCGGGGAGCAGGCATCAGCTCTCAAATGCCTCCGCCTCTGAGGTGGTAGGTTTTATGCCAATCAGCAGCTGCCAGCAGGTCACTACAGCAAATTAAGGGAACAGTCACCCATTGAAACCAGAGCGAGACGGGGAGCAATTCAGAGGAGAGTGTAATTCAATCAAACGGGCACTTGGCGCGACCACACAGCAGGGGGATCCCTGCGCTCCCCACCGAGGTCACCGGCCCTTTCGGCCGCAGTTAATTTGCTGAGTGGGGTGGCTTCACCGAAGCCAGAAGCCGACCCCTGGGCCCGAGGAGCAGACGGATAAAACACAGGCCAATAAAATGACCACAGCCCCTGCCGCTGGGAGCAGGCCCAGGCATGCCACCACCCTCGATGGCAGGCTGGGGACACAGACAGCAGGATCCGGCAGGAAAACACCCCCGCCCCCCCGGCTGTGCTGAACCCAACGCCCTCGTGAAGCACACAGGTTTGAAGGGGTGACAGCTTCCGTGAGACCAACCAAAACCCTCGGAATGGAGCCCTCGAGATGATCAGGTGTCTGTCCTCCGGGTCCCCGGGGCTCAAAGCCACTGTGTCCTATAAGACTGCGTCCACCAGCACGTAAAGATCACTGCCCCTCTAATTCCAGAATGTTCCTTATGTCCTTGGGCCTCAGTTTCCCCACCAGTAAAACGAGACTAAGGATCTACGGAGCAGCGCATGTCTGCATGTGTCTGCGGGCCCCGCACGCCCGGCAGCCGCTGCTCGCCGGTCCCAGGGCAGCGGCCGCTCCGCCCACCATCTGTTTCTGGGCCCCTCTAGTTAATGGTTCTTCACTGGGGACAACCCTGTCCCCCTGCCACGGACATCTGGCCATGTGTGCAGACATCCTTGGTTGTCACAACTGGGGGGGGTGGGGGGACGCTGCTAAACACCCTACAACACACAGGACGGTCCCGCCACGGACGGCTGTCCCCGTGTCCTGTTCTGAGAAATGACCCAGCCGCTTCTCCACGTGAGCACTCGTGCGGAGGCTCCGGTGCTCCGGCCTGCCTGTCCCCCTCCCCACCCAGCCCTGCCCCAGCCCCTCCGCGGCCACGCGGCACCCTCCGCAGCTACCTGCCTCTGGCCCGCGCGCCCCTTCCGCGGCCGCCGGGGACTCCCCTCCACAGGCGCCAGCCCTGAGGCCGAGCCCCCTCCTCTGTCTCCTGTCCGCGTGCCCCCCCCGGCCAGGTAGCCCTGCTGGCCCTTCTCAAGGCCAGAAACGCCCTCCAGCCACTCGTCATCAGTCGCATGTGGCACCCTGACTACAGGATGCTGGGGGGCGGGTGACACTCTGGGGCTGCCTGGCAGGGAGTCCACCCCAGGGGTCCCCCCGGGGCAGGAAAGCAGTGGGTTAAGAGCGACGGGTCGGACAGGCACCACTAGGCCCTCCAGGAACACAGACTACAAGCAGGGCAAGGTGTGGCGGGAGTCAGCCGGCCCAGGGGGAGGGGACGGGGGATTCTGGGGCCACGGGGCCCCCCACCCAGGGCCACGGCTCACCATCTGCCCCACGCACACGCTGGCCGCCTCCATCATGGCCCCGTCGGCGATGGAGCGGGCCGACTCCTTCTCGATGTGCGGGTTTCCGGACAGCAGCTCCTCCACCACCTGCCGGGTGAGCAGACACGGGGTGACCTAGGGCCTCCGCCCGGGGCCGGGGGGCGGGGAGGGGCCAGGAGCCCTGGCCCGTGGGCAGAGGAGCATACTTTACATTTCGATATTCTTCCAGGGTGATGCGGCCGTCGCTGTCCGAGTCATACATGTGGAACAGAACTGGGGGCGGCGGGGAGAGAGAAGGGCTGGGTCAGCCGAGCTGGGAGCCCGGGGGCCTCCCGCTTCCCCAACCTTCCTGCTCGGAAATCTACCTCAAAACCAGCAAGAGACATCCATAATGAACCCTAAACAGCAACCACAGGGGTCAAGGGCAAAGGCCATGGGTCCAGACCGCCCACTTCCGGGTGGGTGACCTCGGGCAAGGGACCTAACTCCTGAGCCTCGGCTCTCCCACCTACACAACGAGAGCAACCGCAGTGTCTACCCTCGGCGTCGCAAGGGCTCAGGGAGCTGCCGAGCTGGGGGACGAGGCCCAGGCACACTGTGAGCACAGATGCCACACGCACTCCAGTGAAGACAACTCACATCCCAGGGAGTCATTCCTGCACGATCCAAGAAGGCAGCCACCGTCGGCAGGGTGTGGACCCCACTGCGGTGTTCCAGGCCCCTGGCTGATCTGAGCCCGTCCCCGGTGGGCACCAGGGACATCAGCACCTCCTCTCCTCTGCTTATTCCACTTGGGGACAGTCACTCTGTTCCTTTACGGGCATCTCTCAGCATCCGGCAGCCCAACAGAGGCCGGGGTGGGGGGGCAACCCCTCTGGCCCCAGTACTCACCCTCACACTCACAAAGTCCCCGGCACTGACCCCACATGGACCAGACACCCTGCTCTGTGCCACGTGTGGCAAACGTCACTTCTTCTCACCCACACGTGATCCCATGAGGCAAGGCTGCCCTGAGTCCATTTCACAGACTGCACCCTTGAAGCTCAGAGAAGTTAACCCGTTTGCCTACGACCGCCCCATGGAGGGAGGAGAAACCAGGGGCCCCCACGACCTCTGACCTGGCCCTTGGAGCAGGTGGGTGGCTGGGCCGCCACCAGGCTCCCCCCTGGTCCAGGGTACCATCAAAGGACCTCGGGGCACCCAGCCCGGGGAAGTTCCCGGCAGCCCTTTTCGTCTGCATTCCAGAGCTAAATACAGCCCAGGCCCCGTGTTTACACGTTCCTGCTGATGAGGCTGAGCCTCGGGTGGGGTGGGGGTGGGATGTCAGGAGTCGTGGGAAAGTCCACACAGGGAAGGGACATGTGACGCATGGGACCCGGGGACCCTGTGCTGCTTGGCCCGCCCGGATCACAGCCAAGCCCGCCCCAGAGCCCAAGGGCCCGGGGGGCTCTTCCAGGACAGATCAGCCAGAGGCTCGTCCCACGAACTTGGTGTCCCATGAACTTGGCACGAGGGAAGCAAGGGTCTCTGCCTGTGCGACCTCACCGAGCCTCAGAACGAGGTGTGTTAGCGGAAGGGCCCAGGCCTGTGCTCTGTTCCCATCACCCACACCCCGTCCCATTCCCCAGGGTGTCCACGCGGAGGCCGCCACAGCGCAGCTCGGGAGGAGAGACGCACAGGGGCCTTCCTGGGGGCTGTAACTTGGGACTGGCGTCTCCCCCCTCCCCGCGCCCAGGCTCGCCCACCCGCCTGCTGCAGGGGCGCGGCCCCGGCCCCGCACGCACATCTCAGCTTCTCTTTCCGGCACAGCTGCACCTGCTCCTCGTCCATGGTGGTGTCAATGGGCCGGAAGTAGGACATGATGGTCAGGAAGTCCTCGAAGTTGATCTCGTCGGCCAGGCCGCCGGACCCCTTGCGCAGGTTCCTGTGGGCACAGAGATGGGGTGTCGGTAATGCATTAAACGCTGGGGCTTGACCTCTGCCTTCCTATGCTTCCGAGAACTCGGCCCTTCTGGGCACACGCGTCTTCCGCGAGGTCCGGCCTAGCCTTGGGTTCTGTCTCTCAGCCCCCTGCCTATGGGGGCACTAGTGGGGGAGGGGCAGGAAGGTGCTGCCCCCCCAGAGCTCACCGTGCGGGGGGCTGGGGGGAGACGCACAGCTACGCTGCTGCTGGTGAGGCCTGGGGTGGACAGCCGCCTGGGCAGGGCCCCCAGATGTGGGGAAACCAAGGCACCGACTCTGTAACTCACCAAGCTACATCTCCTGACCCTTCCCTTCAGACCCGAGGCCAGCAAACCGCAGCCCACGGGCCAGACCCCGCCTGCGGCCAGTTTTTGTACATTCCATGAACTAAGAAGGGTTTTCATGTTTTTAAGTGGTTGAAAATATCTGTTGGGGAGAGAAAAAGAACCCAAAATACTAATAGCACTTCATGACAAACT